TTCGGCCCCCCTTTTGGACATCTCTGGATCCGCCCCTGGTCGGAGAGGTGTATGATTCTGAATGAAATTAGTAGTGCTGATTACACGCATAATACTCCTCAGGAAACGGAGGGGTTGCACGTTCTGTATGATTGATTCTGTACCCAATGACCAGGGGAAAAAAAGCGCCTTGAGCAGTTCTTCCATAATTGGATATTTGCGCTATATAAATCTTATAAAATAAAAGTTTCTCAAGGACATGCACAGCGAGTTCAGAGTTCACTGTTCCCCCTTTCTTTAATTTACTAACAGCTGGTACTTTATACGGTACCTGACGATGACCACAAGTAATAAGGGCAAAGTTATTTTTGCTTATTACACCTGTTACTTTTTCTATTAATATAAGCCGGTCTTGAATTTTTAACTTAAGGTCCGTTACTTCAGTATAAAGGCATATTTATTACGGAAGCAACACAACATTGGCCAAAAATAAAATTTTAATTTTATTCGGAATCATCAATATTTTTATTCAGCGGGTTTGCTAAACAAGGTAAAAAAAAAAATTCTCACTTAACCATAACAATCTTTCTGCAAATACAGTAATTTCTTTAAAAAAATATTTTAAATAAAATTTAAAAAAAAACCAAATTTAATTTTGGCCTAGTTACAATACGCCTAGTTTTCAATTCCATCCAAGGCGAGACTTTTTTTATAACTTGAGTGAAATAGTACCAAACAATTTTGTTCTTGGCCTAGGCCTATCCATCTCGCGCAAAGAAAGGGTCACTTGCATGATAGGTAAATATATTTGGAGCGATTTTTAAGATAATTTATTGGAGTTGAAAGTGCTGCCGAAATATGGCCTTATTTATGGCAGAACTATTAAATAATTTCATTTCATTTTTTTTTCCAGGAAATAGGGAAAGATTGTCGCATTCTAAAATGTAAACATTTATTCATACTTTCATTTTTCAAAAAAAATCTGAAACTTGCAAGATGGCATTAGATGAAAAGGATGAACTTGAAATACAGGCAAAATCAGTAGAACCTGATTCAAAGGTTGAGAATGAACAAGACAGTAGTAGCACTGAATCAAATAAACCAACAACTGAAAACAATGGTGACCATCAACAAAATACTGAAAGCAAAGATGATGATGACAATAAAGAGCCAGCTAAAATGGATGAAGAGGTGAAACCAGATGCAAACACAACAGAAAATGATGCAGAACCAACAGTTGTAGAGGAAGCAAAAGAAGAACAAAAACCAGATAATGATGACTGGAAGATAGTGTCTAGTGATGATGATGAAGATGTGGAATCTGCAGCAAAAAAAAAGAAGGGGATATGGGAACCTCCTTTAGATGTGATTGTGAAACTGTATGAGGAGCTAGACAAGAAGGGTGTACTGGAACTGAAATGGAAGTGCCCTGGTAGAAAAGATCTTGAGGAAGAGAGGCGAGAACAAGAGAGGGCCAAAGAAGTGGTCACAGAAACACCAGTAGTCCCTGAGGAAAAGTAAGTGTGCTCATTTCCCAGTATAAACTCCATTTACACCACACTGAAGTTTTGTTATAAGTAAATAAAATAATTTGCCCATATATTAGTGTGTGTTTTTGGTCATCACATCCATATATGGGCAAATCACAAAGGTTTGTCTCATAAAACTTTATGAGAGCATAAAATAAATTAAAGGAAGAGTGTTTTTTGAGGAGAGAAGCTAAGGGTTATTCAGTCATTCAATTTTGTATTTTGTACCATTTATCTATATTATTGTATTTTTTTGTAATATCAATTTTTTAATGTGAATTTGTGATTTGCATATTTTTTAAACACTTTTCATAAATAAATGTAGGTTTATTATTATTTATTCATTTGATGTAAATGTTCCAAGGTAGTAGCAAAGGCTGAAAAGCTTAAATTAGTTATAATTTATTAATTTTAATTATTATTGTTTTTTTTTTTTTTTGTTTTTTTTTCACAGAGAAGAAGAACCAACTGAATTTGATGATTTTGAAGAAGAAACAACACTGGTGAAGATAACACCTCGCAGGACAACTGGTAAATTTATATTTTCTCAATTTTTGTACTACAAATAGAATAGCAATTAAAATGTTCAAATAATAATACTATGCTAAAATACTGTTAAAATTGTCTTAGAAATGAACTTTACAATTGGAATTATTAAATATTATATGAGCATTGTATTACTTTTGCTTTACCTGTTAGGAAGTGGTGGGGCCCAAGGCAGTGGTCGCAAGCGAACAGCGAAGATGGAAAGCATTTTGGGTAACATGATACGACATCAGAAAATCGATAAAGAAATGGAGAAGGGAGAGAAAGATACGGAAATCGATCCAATGCCAAAATCTGATATAACTCCTCGACGGCCTGGAAAAGTTCATATCAGGAATAACATCGACAGTTGACAAGATTTTATGGAAATATTTTTTTGTGTCTTTAACCAAGTTGCAAATCATGTTTACATTTTCTAAGAGCTTAACTTATTTGGTGTAGTCACTACTAGGGCCTCACAAGAGAAAATGTATTGAACAGATATATATGGCAAAGATGAACCATAGTTGCCAGATATGTGTGGTGGGGATACAATTTGTGTTTGCTTCAAGGCCATACTTAAAGTTGCAGGGCCATATATCATGTACTGTACTAGGAATTGGAGACACATTTAGTGGTTGCTCCAGAGCTGCATTTGTGGTTGCGTCTGGGGCACATTTTGTAGTTGCACCATTACTGCATTTTATGCTTTTGGATGTTGTTCCAGAGCCACATTCTTGTAGTTGCAATGCCTGAGGGAAACATTTTGTGGTCACCTACATGGACACATGTTGTGGCTTACTTTATGGACACATTTTGCAGTTGGCTAGGATCAAAATTACATGTACCCTTTGGGATAAAATGTGTTTTTGTAAAAATTGTAAAATATATTGTGTAGTAGAAGCTGTATACCTTGTTGGGATATCAAAATTAGGTCTATGCTCTTGTTTCTCGAACTTCTTTTACATCTAAAAATGTGCTAAATTTAATCCCTACATTTTATAATTTTTCTATTACGTATGCAATTTATCTCAACAATTAATACCATTTATAATAATTAACACTCTGCCCGCCAAACAGGGAGATCTCCGTGTTTGGTAACACAACGCCTGACAGCGAAACATGGAGATCTCCGTGTTTCAGGTTTTTTAAAGGAATCCAATATATGGAGTAATTACCGACATTTACTAACAATTTGAACAATATATTCAGTCTTGACTGTAAATATTTCACTATTTGTTTGTTTACATTAGCGTAGAGCGGTATTGATTTACTTTCACGAAATCGCGATTATCTCAGCTTTGTGTGCGAAATTGTGTAAATCTCCCAAAGTGAGTCATTTTCATTTTACTGTTACGGGTCACGGATTGTGATAAAATAATAAAGTGTTTGGTACCATTGTACCATACGCACTCTCAACAAGCTTTGGAAAAGTGTTAAAATTTGCTAAAAAGTCTGGCTGTGGCTGATACTATTTTTTCAAACCCCTGGCGGTCAGAGTTTTAAGAATAACTCTGAATTTTAAAGTTTATAAATGTAATTAACTATAATTTCAAATTAGGATTTAGTAAGCTAGTAGTTGGCCTATATATGGATTATACATGTCATCTATTGTACAACAGGAGCTTTTAGTTTTAAAATATAGTTAACTTGTCAAACACTAGAAATGCGTTTTTTAGACTTGCTAATAGTAATGCAGCACATACAGGATATGTGTAGCACACAATGTGTGTGCACCAAGTTAACCTGAGTACAGTATTACACATAACGAGAACTTCCCAGATTACAATGTATTCTAATTATTCTTCATAAAGTGTGAAGTGCCTAGCTTCACACTTTATGAAGAAATCTTGAAGCTAGCGGTACAAGCTTCAAGATTTCTTTATTGTCAGAATGCCATTAAGTTTACATTCTGTGATTTTTTTGGGTGTATCGGACTCCTCGTCAGGAAAATTTCTGGCGTTGTTTTTTAAATACTAAGTACGCAAGTGGATTATTTTAATGCTCGGAAAGGTTCTAGAGGTAGGGTAGGAGATCCTGGGATACAATTTTGTTTATCCTCCACCATTCCCCAAGCTACTGCATTCCCTCATTTTTACAACCTTTCATAGTTGATGTTGAAAAACCAAGGCATATAATAGGAAGACTTGTAGGCCTATAAAAGAGAATGGGTGGGCTGACATTAAAACAAATTGGAAGTGTACACAATTACGTCGGCCCGCCGCTAGCCTCAACAGATTGGAACTGGCCACCAGCTGGAAAAGTTTGAATACCCGGGTGATAAACAGTACACAAAGGTTTGATATACATTGTACAATAAACAGTGGCTGTTGTGTCAGGGAGAAAATCACAATTCGTTGGAGAGAACAAATATTGTTTTTTTCTAGATATTTAGTAGATTCTAAAATCAATTAAATAAGCCTTTAAAACCCCTAAATTGTCATATTTTTCCGGGGGCAGCCTGGGAACACTTTGTTTATATTTTGAGTGACACCCGACCATGTCCACTTTGCTTTTGTGAGGACATCGCGCCCCCTCCCCTGCCCGTCCGTCGAAGACATCTGACCTCTCCCCCACCCTTATGGGTGAATGCTGGCACCACCCATGCCGTATGATAAAATAATGTTAATGTAAAAAAGGTGATGTTAAAAATGACCAGTAAAAATCTATATTAAAAAGGGATGTTAAAATGTCAAGAAGCAATAGATGCTGAAATATTTTGTTAAAGTGACATGTAATTATTAAATTGTCTTGCAAAGTTATCATTGAATAAATTGCGAGACGTCACATAGGCTGCATGAATAAAATCTGAATCGATTTATGTTTTGTTTCTTCTGTTTGAGTCGTAACTCCACCTGCCCTAGTTCTTATTCTATCACAATAATATTTATATTTATACACTTTAATGAACACAAACAATCGTAATGATAATAATTAGGGCATATATACCCCGATCTTGCATTTATAAAAACACACTAAACCAAATATGGTTAATAAGAATAGAATACTTTACCGTAAAAATCGGACTTTCGTTCGTTGATATATTCGTTCGTTGATGGCGTCGAGTCGCCGGAGGTTATCCAAAATCGAAAATTCGTTAAAAATGATATTCCTGAAAGAAACGTTTCTGCAGGTCTGAGTATGGGAAAGTGGTATTTCTTTATGGACCTATCTGTATAAAATTCACAAAACTTTAAAAAATAGTGCATTCTGAAACAATTATACAAACAGTTATATGCTGTCGCCAGGCGCATTACATGAGTATAATGTAGCTATTAAATGTTTATTGAATCTATTATATCGGTTTTGTTTGCCAATTTGTCCTACAGTCTCGTTATCCTCGTTATCTAAAAAGGTATTTTGATAACAGACCGGACCTGGGGTTCAGTTAAACCTCTTTTCGAGCAACCATCCATGATAAACGGACGGGGTGCACTCCCCCAAAAAAGTATTCCTCCAGCCCCCCCTCACAGCCCCCAACATTGGAAAAAAAATCGCGCTCAAGTAGTTAAAATCACATTATTTCGGCGAGCTAGTGCCTCTCACTTAGTCATCAGCCCCCACTTCACAGCCTTCTTCAAGACTTCCAAGATCTGCCGCCTACTTGGCATTATGCCATCAAATTCATCATGCAGCTTCTTCGGAAGCATTTCCCCTTACCACTGAAACTTTTTTCTAGGTAACCCCTTAACGAATTCTAAACGCTTGAATAATAACGGTAACAAAAGGATTATAATACAATGAAACCTTAAACTTAATGTTCTACTAGCCTTTATACGAGAAATCAATGATGATTAAAATGTATTAATTTAAGTTATGTTCAGTTATGGGAGAAGTAGACAGTTTTTTTTTTATAAAGCTTACAATTATTTGTCATAACTTTTAGAAATCGATTAAAAACATGGTTGAAACGGTAACAGAAGGATTATAATACAATGAAACCTTAAACTTATATTCTACTAGCCTTTATACGAGAAATCAATGATGATTAAAATGTATTAATTTAAGTTATGTTCAGTTATGGGAGAAGTAGACAGTTTTTTTTATAAAGCCTACAATTATTTGTCATAACTTTTAGAAATCGATTAAAAACATGGTTGAAACTTTTCATGGCTGCTTCTAGGACATTGGCGGATCTGAGTGGGGTCAGGGAGTCCTAACCCACACCCACAGAAAAAAAATTGAAATTTAAAAAAATCTATACCACCTTTTCAGGACCCGTGAGCTTAAATTGTTTTTGTTGCAATGGGAAAATTAGAATTCGGGAAAGCTCATTTCCCACCATCAAAATTTTTCCAAGAGAACCCCCGACCCCTTTCACTTTGGGTTTCATCGATTCATGGAATCGTTTTCAAGAGGAGAGATCTTGAATTTTGAAGAACTTAAAAGTCATTAAAAGACACCTCAGAAGACGGGAAAGCTCATTTCCCGCCATCTAGGAATCAAAATTTTGCCGGGGGAGAACCCCAGGACCCCCTTTCTCTTTGGGGTTTATCGATTCATGGAAAAAAAAGAATACGTATACAACTACTCAATTTTTTAAATGTATGTATACACACATAATAAGTCTATTTACTGTAATAAGAATGAGAATATTTACCTGACCCGTTTCAAGAGGAAGAAACCATGAATTTTGAGGACACCTCAGAAGATGGGAAAGCTCATTGCCCGCCATCTAGGAATCATAATTTTCCCAGACCCCATTTATATTTGGGTTTTTTGGAAACATTTTGACCCCACCCCCTAATTTGAACCCAGATCCGCCCCTGTAACGGAGACAATTGAAGCCCATACCCTGAAACTACCGGTACTGGGGGAAACAGCAACACAAAAGTCCCACACAATATTTCTAATGGGTCCAAAAAGAATGGGTCCACAATTTTAAAAATGGGTCCAAATTAATACTTAATATACTTAATATATATAATAACTGTTAAAATGTAGACTATATGTTATGTGTAATATATCTATGTAGATTAAGACATTATGATGAAATAAAAGTGGGACGATCCCACAAAAGAGAGAGAAAAAAATGGGTCCAAATTATGTAATTTTATGCATAAAATAGGTCTACTTTTTGGAAAATGGGTGCATTTGTCATATTTTTGTAAAATTTAAGAAAATGGGTCCAGATTTTTAATATTTTTGTGTGAAATGAGTCCACATTGTTTGAGTTTACGCGTAAAGTGCTTCCACCATGATATTGTCCCGCACTCTTTGAAAATCTTGACTACGGCAGGAGGGGGTGGGCATACGCCCCAACGGCCAGAAGTAGGCCTACATATTATATGCCTATATTTATAGAATTTTTCTTTTACTGAAGTAATCCGATTAAACTAATTTGTCGGACTCGCGGTATTTCTTATTATTTTTTCGGAACCAGAATAAACTATGAAAAAATTGAAAAACAGTACAGTATATGAAAATTATATCGCCCTACTCTTACTAAATTAGTCTATAAAACAATTCCTACACTGTTTTACAGTAGGCCTAATGAAATTTTAAATTTACCTTCATGTAGAGTTTTAAATGTATGTATTTGCTGTACCCCGGTATTAAAAGTCATGGCATATATCAAGTCAATATTACTAATATTTCTCTGACTATTATATAAATAAAATATAGACATCTAGTCACTGTTTTATATTTATAATATAATTTATAATTAAGGCGGAAGCTGTCGTTTTGCTTTTTAGTGATGACTTATTTGGTGGCGCTATTTATAAATATTTTGTTTTGTCTCACAAAAATAGAGCATTCACCTCACAATAGGAATGGAATGTTGATCATTGCCAATTCTCCTTACCTGTGGAATTTCCCAGAAGGCATCATCAAAATGGACGATTGTCAGTGAAGTCTTTTTGGTAGCGAACTCAGGAATGTGATGGAAACATGTCGATAGATTGGCTTGATAAGATTAAGAATCGACTATTAGAAGCCCTGGATCATGCAGTAATGTTTTTTTGATTTTGTTATAAATTTTAAAATTTTCTTTTTGTGTTGTAACATTGATGTTTATACCCGTGAATGAAGGTTTTGGTGTTTGGTGGTGGGATCGGTCCTCTTGCTCTTCTGCGGCTCTCTCTGTGTCGGGCTGAATGAATGTTACGACTACCACCACCAATCCAACTGGGCCTAGGAGGAGTTGCGGTTTTGGGGTTTGGCCTAGGCCTAGGTTGGTTGTAAATGCCTATGAAGAATTCGATGTTATACTAACTTAATTGTTTATTTGTTAAAGGATAGGCCTAGCTAGGGCCTACTAAAATGTGTTTTTTTAACCATTCTGTTTTCTCCATGTTTTCTTCTTTAGAGACGGCATTAGAAAGTTCGTATGATTTTTTAAACACAGCAAGACAAGAAACTTCGTTAATTAGTCAGATAACAACTCTGGATGATCATCGTAGAACTCTTCTCAAGGCCTATTAAATTTGGGCCAGATTAAATATTAAGGAAAGAACATAAGAATTTTTATCGTCAAATCCAACATTCAAATGTTTTTTTTAAGATTGAAAACTACAGTATGATTTCAGGATTATTCTTTAGCCAGTGGATTATATTGAAAAGGAAGATGACTTCTATTCAAATACGGTAGAATTTCTTTGGAAATATGTAGCGAGTTTTTCTCGTATTAGCCAATAAATGCAACAGGCAAATTGAAAACCATTTAAGAGAATACTTCGTCTTCTCTCTTTATATTATTGCGTACCCCCATGGATTCAGATGATTGTAAGGGACGCTAACTGAAGTTGTATGAGGGGAGTAAAAAAGGATGCAACAGAACGACAATAAAGTATTTGTTGGTAACCACCGTCAGATGCTCCTCGACATTAAAAGTAGTTTGGACCAACGTCAATTGAATACTGACCAATCAAAGGCAAGTGCAAGCAATGGCAAAACACACCAACAAGGAAGGCTGTTGAGACCTAGGCCCAGTAACTGCCATGATGATACTCTACAGAAAATCAGTGAACAACTTGTCTCCCATAAACTTGGTCCTACTAATGATCGTTTAATCAGACCTACAGCAAGAGGACTTGATGCTGTAAGTAGTCCTCATAAATCAGTTTTTCATTATATATTTTTGTCTTTTTCTGCTAACGTTTGTATTAGTATAAGCATCAGGAAAACAAATTTTACTTGCAAGAAATTTTCAATAAGAGACGATTAAAAATAATCTTGTGTAATAAACCCAGTTGTATACAGTATATTACCAGAAACCAGAATTACATCTTTGTTTGCTTGATAAATTCCATATAAAACAAGCATTGCTGGTAAAATTCAGATATATTTTACATTACCATACAATACAATAATGAAATTCGCATGAGACAGAAATACAACAAGGAGATGATGGGTATTGCCCAAGATGATGATGTACTGTAAGAGTGACCCATGACAGTTATATTTACAGTAGGGGGTCTTGCATAAAGAATGGTTGAAAGCAATAAGTAAAATCCAATTTTAAAATACAGTATAAGATGCTGAAATTGTCAAGCAACATCAAACAGTACAGTGTTGTACAGTACATATAAAAAATACTGTTCTGTGTGTGGGTACTACCAAAATATAGTACTGTAGTCCCAGAGAATTGAAAACTGAGATAATTTATTTATTTCGGTTATGAAACATTGTGCTGGAATTGGTGGGGGAGGTTGTTACAATGTCCATGATGCAATATTTATAGAAACCTACGGTAATTACTGACTCTTGTCATCCATATATGGTTTATAGCAATGTGAATATAAATTAGGAATTCTTTTCAGATCTAAAATCTCATAATATGCATTTTATCTAAATTTTACAATGTGGATTCTTCAACAAGGAAAGAAAAAGTAATGTATACTGTAGTTCCTCGGGCAAGCTCACCACCAACTGTACTGTACCTTATGCCTAATTTTACATACCAGGGTTTCCCCTTGAATTTTACCCCAGGGTATTATTTGGATGAGTTGCTCAATTTTCACAATTAAGTACTATTTATTATACATTTAGGGAAAAAAAACCCCAAAGAATTGGCCAGACTTAAAATATGTTGTACTGTACAACTGCAGTGATTTTATAAAGGGTCATCATTTTTCTGTGAAAATTGATTATTTTTTAGAGTCCACCCTCTCAAAAATATGAGATGGTTTATACCACAAGAAGTAGGCCTACTGTTCAATACTCACTATTATCAAGTCCTCTTTGTACATGATGGATACATAATGGCAAAACATACTAAGATATTAAATTAGTTTTGATTGGCTTTGATTACTGTAGTTGTGAAAATTATATGAATAATAAATAATTCTAGTAATGTTAACACTGAATCTTTGTAAATGGAATGTGTTGCAACTAAAGTCATAATGCAATTTTTAAAGATATTTTCAAAATCATTAAAGTTTTTTTATTTTATCATCTGCCAGCATAGAAGGCATTGTACTGTAGGTGCTTTTTGCATTTTATTTTAATTAAGTGAGAAAATAATTTTTTCCCATCCTCCTCCTAAAGTTAAAAAACAAATGCTTGCTAACAAGGTACTGTACAAGACAAGTCTAGTCTAACAGTGATTATTTACAGTAAAGGTCTAGTAAATACAGTACTATAGTTTGTGTGTGTGTGTGTGCACCTTTTTTTTTGTGAAAAAAGATGCTTTGCCCTCTGTTTTTTAAAGAATCTTGATAAAACATGCTTTTTTCTTTGGCCTAAGAGCAAAATGCTGTGAATTTCTAGTTCAAATGTGTGGTGCTGATAGAGTGAAGTTGGCTGAAGTGATTGTTATTAGCATACAGCATTCTTTAATTGGCGTCATCATCTTATTACTGTACCATCAAAATTCTTTACACTCTTCACATTGCTGTTAAATATCATTCCGTTGGTAAATCACTGTCGAGACAAACAATATTTAAAATATGTATTCTGATTCTCTACAATGACTAATGTGAATGATATTATTGTACATACTGAAATATATACTGTATTATGTTAGATTAGAACATAATGAAGGAATAGGGAATATTGTTAATATTTAATGATAATTATTAGAGTATAATACTGTGTTACGAAAACTACACAAGTGTTATGTTTTACAGTATGAAATATATATTGTACAGTAAGTCTACAGTTCTTTGTAATCCAGTGATCTTTGCTAATATAATTAACTAAAATATTATGTACAGTATGTATACAGTAAGATAATATGTGAGTATGAGCTAAGGAAAAAAAAGATACAGTATACAGTACAGTGCCAATATCAAAATGAAATAAAATTTATTTGTCAAATATTTAACAAACCCATTCCTATTGTAGTACATGGTGTAGTTAGTGAACTAGTTCAATGCCTGTTAGGCAAGACTTTTTTTATACCTTGTTTGGTGAACTTGCCTCTGCCACTAACAATGATACCAAAACAAATAAAATTTTATTTTTGGCCAATTACCGTACTGTAACAAACCCACCACTACGACAAAATGGAAATTTCAGAAAATAGAAGATTCTCTTTATTTTTATTCCACCCGCCGCTGCCTTGAAATCTCCAAATTAATAAGATATGATATTTCTTCCTAATTATATATGCATTTAGCCATCCCATTGCTACACTGTTTACATTCATCCCTCAATCAGATTTTATTTTTATATTTTCCTTAGAGTGGATGTTTTTGGCAAAACCATAAGAAAACAAAATTTCGTATTTATTTTTTTTCTGCCCTCTGACGATTTAAAAAAAAATAAGTTCGAAACAAGGTATAAACAAAATTTTGCATTACTGTAGACCCAAAACTTGATCCAAGAAGTTACAGTATGTATTAACGATAATTTTTTTTGATAATCTTATTACTGTTGTTAAGGAATGATGAACGCATGGCTTGTTTTAAATGCACTCCCTGTCCCACTTTTTTTCCACTGAATAGTAATTGTTACCTGTATGTATGTAGGCTACCAGTTGAGAATTTAGTGAGTGTAATTGATGTTCAAATTTTTTCTTTTAGTCTGATAGTGTTGCTCGGTCTGCAAAGAATGGAACTTGTAATGGCAAGACTACGTTTGCAGGTACAGTAAACCATTCACCAAGTTTATAATATCCCGACTCCCTATTTGTCAAATTATACTGTACTCCTGTTGTCTAAAGCTGAGCACACATTGCGTCACATATTACTGTTGGCTGACAAATCCATCTCCGCTCACAAAAATGTGATGGCATCTGCTGTGGATGGCGGACTGAGGGGATCGTCATAAAAAAAAAAAAGAATCCATTGCGAGTCCCTCCGTTGCATTTACAATAGATTAAACCGATAAATGTCAGAGCAGCGTGAGCACAGTTATTCCTAAAAGTATTCTGAATTAAGAATGTTCCTAAGTGTACCCACATCCAGTAAATCATGGACCCTCATTGTTTGCTTGGGAACCAATAAAGGTTATGAGTGATTGTTGGTGGCCAGAGTACAGTACTCTATGTACAGTATTCACTCAATTTACCAGTACTGTACCAGTAAGTCTCACAAATGCTTACAGTTTGGAGTAGCCTAGCCTTCCTGTGACTTCCCAACTTAAAAAGCTTCATAAGGAGTCTTGTTTTATGGTGTTTTAATCCATGATGCCACTGTGCTAATAGATATGATGTAATGTTCAGACAACAAAAATATAACATCTGAATAACTGTGTTGAACTCAGCAGGGCAAGTTTGTGTCATATTATTGTACTTGCTCTTAACAGGTTTAATTGCCCTAACATTTTTTTTTTTGGCAAATAGTGAAGTTCAAAGTTTACAGTTACGTGTGTGCGGCAGCATGTAGTTTGATTTAAAACAGACTACAAACATGTAACAATAAAATTGGACAACAAATTATTCTTAAAAACATGCTCCTCTTTGATATTTACAACCAGTAGTTGTCTTCATTAGGGTATTAATATCTCTTTATCGATATTTACATTGGCCTTCTCTTCTTTAAGTGTTTCTTTACAGTAAAATTAATGGTCGTCACACGGACGACTTATTATAAAATTTTACTCGTCCTTAACATAATTTATGTACTGTAGTTTTAGGCCATAGGACGACTGAAATAGTAAATGTGTGACCCTGGTGTCAACATCCTTGTTTAAATCATTAAAATGCTAACTGTATCATAATTTGTACTGTAGCTAACATTTTTAAATTTCAGAAATTGAAATGTTCAATATTATGAAATGATGATTGAAAATATGCCTGGTTTACTGATGCAGTTTCCTCCTTATTTCTTCCAGATGGTCCGTACTTACCCAACAAATCAACCAATGTAGAGGAAAGAAAACATGTTGTGTCCCCAGCCCCTGATTCATTTACTCTTGAGGGTACGAGAGTGCATTCAAATAATGTTCCAACAAGACACTTTGGGACGGACACAAAACTTGCTTATGGAACACGATATGAAGGTGGTGTATCGGATTGGTCATCTTCAACCCCATTGCAATACAGGGGACAAACACCACCTCTTAATGGGGAAGTTCGCACAACTCAAGTAATGAATCACCAGGTACCATTGCGATCAAATTTCAGACAGACAGTCAGTTTATATCCACATGGGACTAAATCAGATGTAGATGTCAGTAGATCAAAATACATTGAACAGCCTTCTACACATCTTGGTAACTTTGGTCCCGGACGCCTTAAGCAACTCCACCGTGGGGATTACCCGCAGGTTGCTCAACCGAACTACTATTCAGCAGATCCCTGCGTTGTTGTCAATAATCCTAGGCAAATGCCTTATGGAAGTAGTACATCTTCAGTGTCAAAATCGATAAGTAAACATCAAAACGTTGATTTAACTTACCTTGAGGAAATTCTTGAAACTAATCCCAATATACAGAGGGCCTCTCAGCACTCACCTGCTGGTTACCCTCCTGGCTACCCTCCAGGTACTACTTCCTCTGTTCAACAGATGATGAAACATGACAGCTATGTGAGTTCCTTGCAAGTCAGTATGATTCAACCATCTTCTAGCCAGTATTATATCGGACAATCTAATCGTGTTATCAACAACAAACCACCACCAAGCTACGAGAAAAGCATACAGGACAGCCTTTCTACTCGTTCACTGGCAAATAAAAAGTTCAATGATGTTGGAATGCGTCCCAAGTACATGGCATCGCAAGAAAGACCGTCACCACCAGCGTATAGGATGCCAGATTCAATAAAAGTTGAACCTGCTGTTTCAAATCTTCCCATTCCTGCAACCGCGACGACTACAACTACCTTTACACCTGGCATGTATAACTCACAAATAACACAGTACAAAACAAGTAGCTATAATGTTTCTAAACCTGTACTGCAAACTGCTCATGCTCCAAACGAACAACCTCCAGCAAGGGGTGCCTCGCCCGACACAATTAGCACACAGAGCACCCAAAGTACGCAGAGCACACATAGCTCTGTGCGTTCCGATTCGCCTTCTTTACGCAATTCGCCTGGGATTCATAGTGACAACGGTGAAACCAATGATGAAGATGTTGCGGGCAAACAAAGGATTGAGTCACCAAAACCGGAACGTAAAGCATTTGCGGAAACGTTTGAGGCATCGGGTAAGCGGTTAAAAAGCTACTCGCCGCAAGCGTACAAGTTTTACATGGAACAACATGTTGAGAACATTATGAAATCGCATCAGCAAAGGATAACGCGTAGGAAACAGCTTGAGACGGAAATGGCGCGTGTCGGTTTATCTGAAGACGCTCAGGAACAGATGAGGCGGATGCTGTACCAGAAGGAATCAAATTATATCCGACTCAAACGAGCAAAGATGGCAAAGAATCTTTTTACAGTTCACAAAACCTTGGGTATTGGTGCATTTGGAGAAGTATCATTGGTGAGAAAAAAGGACACAAAAGCTCTGTATGCAATGAAAACTTTACGTAAATCGGAAGTGCTAAAACGCAACCAAGTTGCACATGTAAAAGCAGAGCGGGATATTTTAGCTGAAGCTGACAATGAGTGGGTAGTACGCTTGTACTATTCCTTTCAGGATCAGAATAATCTATATTTCATAATGGATTACATTCCAGGGGGCGACTTAATGAGCCTTTTAATTAAGTTTGGAATTTTTAAGGAGGGCCTAGCGAGATTTTATATTGCAGAGTTGGTGCTGGCTATAGATAGTGTACATGTTATGGGTTTTATACATCGTGATATCAAACCGGATAATATCCTTATTGATCGTGATGGTCATATTAAATTGACAGACTTTGGCTTATGCACTGGATTTCGGTGGACTCATGATTCCAAATATTATCAGAAAGGTAAATAGCATGTCCTTTTCTTCTTTTGTTTCTTTTTCCATCTCAGCCACTCAAATCCAGTTTTACACTTTTCAAATTAATTCAAATTCTTATTTCATCCCACAGGAAATAAAATGTAAATAAAAATGTTAGTATAAGTTTACTGTACATACATGTAGTCGTAGCGGGACCTAACATTATAAGCTTATAATAATGTATATGTTAATTTCATTATTATGAATATTTTTTAGTGTAAAACACATCAAGGATAATCAATTTAATACAATATACTTTTATTCACAACTAAAATTGCACAAAATAGAGTCATTAATGGTGATTAATGATATATAGACATCCCATGGTCTTTTCTGATGAGTGTATACTGTGTTCTTTAACATTCCAAAGACACACATAAATGTAGTTTGCATTTCAGCTACATGTGAGGTTGATTGAATGATGTATGACACACTCTGCTATTTTCTGCTTTTTCTCAAATAGCTGGGGTTCATGCTAGGCAAGACAGTATGGAGCCGTCAGAAGAATGGGGAGAGGAAAAATGTAGCTGTGGAGAGGACTATGGTCATTCGGTTAAGTCCAAAGGTCTAAAGACTCTGGAACGGCGCAAGAAGCACAAACGCTGCATAGCACATTCTTTGGTCGGAACACCAAATTATATTGCTCCGGAAGTGCTGCTGAGGGAAGGTATGAAAATGTTCATTATTTATATTTTTTACATTTTATTTTATTTTTTTATTTTTATTTTATTCCTTCCAGCAATACAAACATTCAAATATACAAAAAAGAAAGAGGAGAGCTGCGGAGAGGCAAATGCGATAAAAACTAATATCGCTGAAGGGCGTGCATCTCCAACTCCTACTTCCAATACAAACATTAAAAAGCTAAAACTGAACACCCACACACAAATGTATTAAACAAGCCAATAAAATCCCAACCCACTTCTCACACCCGACCACCCAAAAAAAAACAAAAAAAAAAAAAACGTCAATTCAAATAGCAATTTTTTTATATTTAAAATTAAATATATAAAACCAATATTATGATTACAATAGTAAAAAAATAAATATAACAAAGACCTAAAAATATTGCACATTAAAAAATTTATAAATTCAACTGTTAGTATAAGATCAGTTGGGCAAATTATTTAATATTATATTATACTGTATTTTAGAAGTAAAAGGTATTGCTAATTGCATTAGTATAAAAATATAACTGTATTTAGAAGAACAAACTTAACATAGAGTCAGACATAATGAAATTGCACATTAAAACATTCCAAATTCAACAATAAGTAGATTAAATCTTAACAGTAGGGTAAATGGAATCAATTATTTTAAAAAGTTCCCAATTAAGTTACTACAATTACGATTTTTTATTAAAATGATCACTTTATTTTTGCGTGAAATTAAACCATGAATCACAAACAAATGGCACTTTACTTATGGTTGCCCATCTCCACCCATGAGTAAAGGTGGGTAGATGGGATTACACAAAATGTGCTGATTTACAGCTGCAACATTATGGAATTCTCTCTATGTGAGGCTTGCGTTCCCAAAACCAGCATCCGTGACTAAAAAATGAAAATTGACTTTTTAATATTCTTATTCTGCACATTATAAGCTGTAAAATAATGAGTCATTTACTGGAATCGAGCTACTATTGCCCAAGTTATGAGTAACAGTATTATGGCTTCTCTTTAGTAAAGTATACAATTTTGCCACATTCTAATGCTAATTACCCAGTTTAACAATCAGCGACAGTACGCTGGATTCTTGATGACAATCCTCGTTCTTGATCCAATGACCAGAGGTACAGTAATAATGTGAAGCACTTGTTGGCATGAACCGCTACACAGTATATAAGTTTAACATATTATTATATATATTTTGACTTTTGTCGAAATTGCTAACTCAGTAATAAAATCGAGTCTATATATATATATATACATATATACAATATATACGATATACGATGAACTTTATTGCAATTGTTATCATACAATTCAAATTGAAATTTAACAAAAGGAAACATCCAGTAAAGCAAAACATTTACAATGTTACAATAAAAAGAATAAAAAAAGATTTGTAAGTCTGATAAATACTTCTAGATTCCCCCACTCATTTCTGCCTTTCAGCCTTTACATTCTGCCTCTGTATCTGTTTCATTTTTATCTGAAAATTCTGAGTATGTTAATATGTGTTGTCTTGCTAGGTTATACAAGTGCCTGCGATTGGTGGAGTGTAGGGGTCATAATGTATGAGATGCTGGTAGGCCAACCGCCATTTCTGGCAGATACGCCTGCAGAAACTCAGAAAAAGGTAAGGATAACATTATTGACGTCCATCAAATGAAGATAATGCGATGGAATATACATTGAAATTAAGAGTTTAGATTTTTACAAATTGGTAGTTTTTAAATTTCTAGTTAGCCTCAGATTTTTATTCCATATAGTCAGTGGTACTTGGACAATAATAATTGAATTTTGGATGAAAACATTGTGGAAATCAATGCAAGTTAACTAAATCACTATCAAGGGCCCTTTTTTTTCAAAAAACAATGTTTACAATATAAAATTTTGCTTATACATCTAAAGTTCAATATTTTAGAATAATCAGCAGTAAAACAAGCATAATTTAAAAAGCATTAAAATATTCTTGAACTATAAGAATTATTATATACTACTGTAGTCTACTATTATTCTTAATTATTGAATTATATGTACAGTATGTGTTCAAACATAGTGCAGAAAAAAGTAAAAAAAAACGTTGTGTAAACTTGATGTGGAGGTGAATATACAAAGTAAACATACAAATAATATCTGTATAGACAGTACAGAATTCTTTGAATAACATTGTTCATACATGGGTCAGAAGAGGTGGTGCTTTATGCATGATTGGTTTTGAATATGATGATAAATATGCAAAATAAACATACAAACACATTACTGGAGTATTTACAATTACTTTCATAAAATGGAGCACACTGGTAGAAGCAATTGGTAGTAGAAAATATGAATAAACAAATTAATTTTTTTAGAATGAAATCGTGACAATAACAATAAACAAAATGTGACTATATTTTTTCTTATGGAATCTGGATATAAAATGACCCCTGAGTTTGAGACAATTTTTGAACGCTTTTTGTATGTCAGGCATTGGAATTTCTACTTTTTGCTGCTCTGTATTGTCTTGATAACTGGGTCATTCCGTGTCAAATCAACCAGATTTAAAAAAAGTTCCAGTATGACCCTCTCAGATTTTGATGAAACTCCATAAAAATGATCCACTATGTGAAAAACCAACACTTTAAAAAAATTAGTGTTATAGGTTTTGCAGTTTCTGAGATATTGACTCCTCACAGAAAATTGACTCCTCAAAAAAGGGGCGTGGCCCTTCAAGATGCGCAAACACAATTTCCTCCAAATTTGGAAGCTTATAACTCTGGATTGGTAATAGCTATCAAGGTCAAACTTGGTATTCTAACTTATATTCCACCATATTACACAAATATGACATCAGATTAACTGTTATCCCTTCTTTTTTGAAGTTATCTGCACTCAAAATAGCCACTTTTTTGTTTAACGACGCAATTTTTTGTGATTTTAAATGTCACCCTGTGTCCATATGAGTGATTGTATACATCTTAAATTACAGATATATTATCTATGGGTAGTTGTCTCTAGCCACAAGCAAGCACAGGCTGATCAAATGAATTAAAATGGAATGGCATCCATTCAAAGTTGGTACCAGCCCTAAAAAAGTGAAAAAAGCCTGTTTCCCATTAACGGTTCGTCATGTGGACAGTTAAAATCTTTTCTCAAATTTACAACAGTTAATAAGATATATTAGATCTACTTATACACCAAATTTCAGTTTTGGTACTCAGCTCCTTCATGGTTAGATACTATGTTGAAAACTACACATATTTTAACATAATTGGAAATAACTAAATTTTTTAAGAGTTGGGTAATTCTATGCCATGGGATCATAGATTTTTAAAATTTTTTATACTGACAGTTATTCATGTGAATGGAAAAACCTGAAATTTTTAGACTCCAATTCCTGTTTGTTTTCCCGTAGCGGCAGTTTGATGTAAAAGGGGGGTGTGGCACAATTTAGTGCACTGTGAAGTATGCTAATATCTTTGGAAGTATAGTGCCTATAACCTTCAGATTTTGTGGTGTAGGACATCTTTTACTGCTGATTCCAAATCTGCAATCAGAAAAGTTGTAGCATGTACCATTGCGGAATAGCAATGGTCTAAAAATGGGACAAAAACTTGTCTGGACCAACTTTTTGCACTTATTTTTGTAATATGGTGGAATATAAGTTAGAATACCAAGTTTGACCTTGATAGCTATTACCAATCCAGAGTTACAAGCTTCCAAAGTTGGAGGAAATTGCATTTGCGCATCTTGAAGGGCCACGCCCCTTTTTGGGGTGTCAATATCTCGGAAACTACATATCCAGTAGGGCTAATCTTTTGTGTATGTTGATTTCCACATAGTGGATCATTTTTAAGAAGTTTCATAAAAATCAGAGACTGTCGACCTGGGACCTCTGGTTGATTTGACACGGAATTACCCAACTGCATAATATAGCTGTATAAAAACAGTCAAATGTAAAACTAATCTTCCAAATAATACCATTTTATGGGCTTTTAAAATGTTCATCAAAACCTTATTTTCCCACTTTTAAAATTGCATTCATTCATACTAAAAGCAGCTTCATTTCGGTAATAAACTTGTGTGTTATGGACGATCAGCACATAAGACGAACATGATTTAAAAATCAAATAATTTGAATATCTTGTGCATTTAAGGTCAGTGATTCATAACACAAAATATTCATTTTAAAATGACATGCCAGTTAGGTATGCATGTTGATTTCTTGTGTTCTTTAATTTTGTCAGGTTATATACTGGAAAGATTATCTGAGGATTCCGCATGAAGCCGGACTAACCTACGAAGCTGAAGATCTGATCTTGAAACTGTGCACTGCACCCGAAAAACGGCTAGGCAGGACCGGTGCTGACGAAATCAAGAGACATGCGTTTTTTAGTTCCATTGATTTCACCAACAACATCCGGCATACCAAAGCACCATACTTACCGCCTATCAACTTTCCGACAGATACACAAAATTTTGATCCAATATCTTCACCGGATCGCGGTAACTCTGATGGCTCAAGCGAGGATGAAGCCTTTGATGTATACTTTGGAAGGAAGATGAAAAATGGAAAACATCCGGAACATGCGTTTTTTGAGTTCACATTCAGACGTTTCTTTGATGAGGGTGGCCATCCCCACCCATGCCCCATACTTCCTAGCAAAAGTCCAAGCCCCTGTCCTAGCTCTGCAAGCACTAGCTCTAAGTCCAGCAATAGAGAACAGCAAGAGCCTGTGTTTGTGTAAGCAACTCTATCGGCTGAAAAAAATCTATTATAAATGGGTCTTTTTAAGTTGGGAGGCGAGAGATGTAGTGTACAAGGGGGCTTCAAATTTATAAACCAATTGGCAACTCAGTTACCATAACAATTTTATTTGTATGACAAGAATATTTTACATATTTCCAGAAAATTTAAAAATTCTTTTATTTTTTTATAAAATAATGAATACAAATAAAGTAAGGGTACCTTGAAAAGTCACTTATGGGTAATTTAATATGACAGTTGCATCATGGGTAACTATTGCCTGTAAAATCCTCAACAGTTGCATTGTAGCAACTTTACTACTATGATATCAGTTTCATTATTTTTTATATATATATATTTTGATATTTATATGCTTGTACAATATTGAAAGCAAAATTGGGAAATAACTCGCAGCAGATTTAAAGTTAAAATATAGGAATGGAAATGTGTTGATAGCATTTAATGTTGGTTATTTTTACCATCATTTAGTATAGCTATTTAATTGCTTGGCACAATTTTTACCTATGTGACCTGAATTCCCTAATATTTAGTTTACAGTATTCCAAAATAAGTCAATCAAATTGAATAGAAAACCAGGCAATATTGTGTGAACTTCGCTCTTTTTATTACTGATAATGGCAATTAGTCAATTGTAGCATTATCTTTTAGGTTTCAACATAATTTCCCTATTCTTGAATGATCCTTAATTTGTTACCGTTTATTGCTTATTGAATTATTGCATCATTTTTCAAAAATTTAAGATATTTTGGACGTACGTTGGTCAAAAATGTATCTTTCAATTGTTTTAATCTACAGTAGTGGTAGACCAAAAAGTAAAAAGTCGATTAACCCTACCCTTTTCACTAAAAACCAATAGGTCCACTAATCTCTACTATACTATAATCTCATTATACTATGTATAATACATAGTATTCAAGTATTGAAAGGTATGCCATTGTGTTGGGATTCAGTATTTTGACATAAGTTATGTAATTTTTTGACTAAAATTGCCATTATCATTACTAAATCCTCAATTAACCCAGCCAGAGAAAATAGAAAGGAAAGAGAGCACAGTCCTGTTTGAAGATACAGGTCTCCCTCCAATCAAAGACCACTTTTGGAACTGGGGTTTCCCATGGTCTTTATCAGCTTTTGTCTCTCATTACACAAGATGCATTCATTTATAAAATTATAATATTAATCGATCGATTAATCAATAATATTAATATTTTTAAAAAAAGTGACAACTGAAAGCAGCGGGCATCCTCTCATAGCTGTGTATAAGGGCGTATCATTACGGAGAACGTCTGGAACGCTATTTGGCCAAATCTACGTATGCAGAGAAAGTAGGATGCTAGGTAGGACGGTCATGCATGAGTGCTTTCGTTCTAGCGTCACGTCGCACAAATCGAAAGCTCCCTGTTTGTTTACACTCACAAGTGTCCCGTGCTCTCTTTTGATTCTATACTCTTTGACCCGACCCTTGTTCCCATTTTTAAAAGCCTAGGTCCTCCCCTGTATTCAGGGTAAGATTTAGTTTGTTAGATTTTAAATTTATTTTATTGTTTTTTTGTTTTTTTTTCAAAAGTTGGTGGCGCTGCTCTTCGCTACTGGACAAAATATGATTTTGTTCTTAAACAATGCTCGACAAAATATAAATTCTGGTTACCTTGACGTCACAATCTTATGACACACATATTGGGTGTAAACAGATTTTATTTTCAGTGTTTATTGGGAAGAAAATAAGAAATTGCCTTTAAGGTGAATTAAGCATAAATGCATCTTCACGTAGTGGCTACACTAGTAAAAAAATTGTAAAATTTTGGTGAGAGTTTAAACATTATTCAGCTAGTCTTCAGAAAAGTCTGATATCTGAATGGGTCTAGTGAGTTGGGAGATAAGCACAATCGCCTTGGTCTCATCACCTTGTGTAAATAGTGTATGTTATGGTTTTACGCACCCCTTGGAGTTGTACAGAGATGTCCGATCTATACAGTGGCATTAGTTGCAGGCAGCGGCTAAACTAACAATGCCCCTGAAATTCCACTGCTATTAAAGCTGTTATATTTGCAAGAAATAAATATCAAATAAAATTCTATGTTATTAAAAATGTCTTCGTTTTATTTCTGTAATTTTTAATGTGTGTATTGTAATACATTGCAGTATCAGACACATACTGATTTGGATTGGATTAGATTTACTCAGTGTAAACACCAAGGTAGCCCACAAATGTCTAGAAAAAGACTTATTTCCAGTGGGGTCCTTCTGGTGGTGACTGGACAGTACACCGGGAGACAATCCCCTACTCTTTTCCGAAGAGTGTACTGTGTTCTTTAACGTGCACATGGGACCAACGGCTTAAATGTCTCATCCGAAAGATGGTGCGCTATTGTAACTTGTATTTCAGCCCTCTAGCTGAAACACAAGGAGAGGCAGCGATGGGAATTGAACTGGGGACCTAGATATCTCCACGGTTCAGCGCACACACAGTGGCTACCACCAGATTAGCCGACTGAGCTAAGCTGCTCTCTCTATTTGGAAAATGGCAATACGCAAAATATCTGTAGACAGAGGCGGATATAGGAACTCAATTAGTTTGGAAAGGGGGGGGGGGGTGGTGTTGCAGGGAGAGACTTTTACAGATGGAGGGTCTATACCACCTCTGAGGCAAGAAAATGTATGATTATGGCAACTCTAAATGGCCAGAAATAGCACTCTCAGGCTTAAATTTGAACATAACCTTTTTCTCTCTTTCATAATTTTTAATCAGCTGGGCCACCACCTCTTGAATCCAGCACTGGTAGAAATGGTTGGATAACATTTCCAAAGGAGAGAGGACCCTTGATGGGATTGATAGATAGCTGCACTGTTGAATCAGAGATTCTTGTGTTTGGTTTGAAGTTTTATTTACCTTCCTTGTCTTGAGGTTATATATGGTGGCTAATAAGTAGCCTAAGAATGTGGCATTATTGTATACTTTAATACAGAGAAAGCTCTTAATACTTTTACACATAACTTTGACAATAGCAGGTCTATTTTAGTAATGTGGAGAATATAAATACATATTAAAAAGTACATATACACGTTCAGGCATATCTAGCACCACATGATTTCACTTCAGTCCCACCACCATTTGCAAGTTAAGTTATACTACAAAATCTAAACAGGCAATAACACAAAAAAGGCAATACATATACAGTAATGTTTGTTTTTAATTCTTTCAAGCTAGTCTGCCACATATACAGTATCATATTTCTCGGTAGACCCACTATCTGTTAAACTGGGCTCAAAGACTTGTTGGCTTTTTAAGGCACCACTTTTTTTTACAGTATGCATATATTAAAGTGCACCAAATAGTCTCAATACAAGCAAAATGAATATGCACATTTACACCTACTTGCACCTACTTGCATGTCGGAAGCACTGGTGAAAAATTATTGCCTATATGATATAGGAAAATAACAAACTCTAAAATGATGATGTTATAATGTCATCTTTATAATAGTGACCTGAACTGAATTTTTCTATGCACTTCATGTTCGTAAAAAGGAATGTAGTAGATTTTATCTCAACATAAACACCAATACTGTTGTAGGC